TCACAATATATTGAAAATATATCAAAAAAATACCATTGACACTGTGGTTCCAATGTCACAATTTGGAAAAGTTCAGGGTGTACACAAACGTTTGGAAGGCACCGCATTAGAAATAAGTTATCCAAGAACTACCAGAACAGGCAACGGATTTCTTTTCCAGAATAAAATTCAAAATCCAAAAATTAGTGTATTAAATTGTAAAGCAAACAAAGCATCAGTTGGAGAAGCCACAGGGGCAACATGACAATGACCCTGAAATGATGTACCAGTGACAGGACATGGCAGATATCATGACCTGCTTCATGGATGAGAGTAAAAGACAAAACTCTCCTCTTTCTCTAGCCCTCCCATCACATTTATCTGACTTTTTCCTGCTCTTTGCTCCCTCGTTCTGCACAGTGCACTGAAATTAATGGTGGTATTTGTCTGCTTATGGTCAGAGAGGTGATTTGTAATCAGGTAGAACAGGCGCAACCAGCTCTGTGTTTCAGGCCTGTTTGAGAAACATAAGCTGAGACATCTATCTAGAAAAAAAAAAAAGGGGGGGGCAGGGGGAGAGAATAGGCACTAGAAAAGAAAAATGTCACAAGAGAGCAAGCATGAAATAATTTGAAATATTGTGTTGAATAATTGAGAACAATTAAAAGCCCTTTTGGAGATAAGCTGAGAAAGCTAGCAAAAAGGCTGGAAAAGTGAGACAGCTTCATCTGTATCTTCCTGTGATAAGTAGACAATTCAGGCTCCAACAGAGGGAGAATAAAGAGCGCCGATGGAGGGATTGAAACGACGCGGGGTGACGGGGAGAAATTGGCCGTATATTTTAGAAATGGATCAGAAATGGTGGGATGACACCAGAGGACACTTAAACGCACATGGAGAGTGAAGAGAGAATACAGGTGGCCAAGGGAGAAACAAATATTCATACAAAAACATGCACAGTCAGTCAGCTTTTCACACGAGGCAAATCTGACAAAAGGAGAAGAAAGAGAGAGAGAGAGAAAAGCAGAAGGAGATTGTGAGGCAGCACTGCGGGAGACATAGAAGAAGGACATTGGGAAGAATTTCAGGGCACCAAATCCATCTAGATGCTGTGACAGGACCTAATATATTTGTTCCACATAGAAAATTAATTTTCTAATATTAAAAAGGTCAAAAATAAGCCAAGGAAACAATGACCTCTTTGTCATCCTTAACAAATTATCCAAAATGGCAGTGTCAGACTGCTGGGGATACATTTGCCCAGTGATGAATGCTTCTGGTAATCAGCCAATCAAAAAGAATTCTTCTTCTGCTTTTGATAAATGAGCTGGAAAAACACTGCTTTAGGAAGAAGATGGGTCCATTTGTTTCTTCAGTCTCCTTCCCTATTTTTTTCTCCCTGTCCATTTCTCTCTTTTCAAAACAAACAACGGGGTGGCTTGGGAACAGATTATAGCTCTTTGCATCACTGACTCTTTCAGCCATTTTCCCTGCTGACCAATGTTCAGCTACAGATGGCAAATGATGGCATTTTTATAAAACCGTTTAAGCAAGTTTCTCTCCAGATGGATGGGTAAAAAGTTTACAATCTGAGTTCTTCATAGACATTTCCATTTAGGGCACGGCAGCTTTACACAGGTAATGGTGCCATGCAATACGCCAGCCAATGTATTCAAAACGAGGAGCAAATGGTACCTTAAAGACATTACGGTTGTTAGGTCTAAACAAAGTGCCAGAAGTAACTGAGATAAAGTATGTTTCCTGTTCCAGATCCACATTTTAAATGATTATTTTACTCTTCCACTCAGTTGAGTTTTATGACAGAGGTGAATATGTTTAATGCCAAAAGAGCAAAGGCCTAAAAAAAAACAAAGCTGAACAAGTTATCCACAGAGTCTGACACACATCTGAATTGATGGCATGTGGCACCTTACTGGGGGATTGTTGGTGTGCATGTTTGGGTGTGTGTTTTTGTGTGTGCTTTCGTGAATTTGAGTTGAATGGGCACATAAACAAAACTATTTAATCTGGATTACAAGAAAGGAATGACATTTGTTAAAATACAAACCATGTGTAGGTTGTTTTTTAGTAATCCCCCTTTTTGTGTGTCTGTACTTTACTGGTAGCTTTTGATAAAATTTTCTGTCGTTGTAATCTTTACTCCAAATCTATTTGACAGGCAACACTTGCAACCTCTTTCTATCAAATGTTAATGAAAAATTTCCAGGTGAGTGGGAATGTTGGAATACATTTTGCCAATTTAAACCATCAGCTCTTGTTTAGGTCAAACTTCTGCATTAAAACTAGTAAGTGGAAACATTCTGAGCCACAATTTCATATCTATACAATTACTGGTTAAAAAAAAAAAAAGATTTTCTGACATTAATATAATGGAGAACAGATTGCTTCTGCTACAAGCTTTGATTCGAATGACACTTGTCAAAGAGCTCACAGCCAGTAATTGGAAGTTATTGCTTGAACAAGAGAAGAAAGCTCTTTTACCATCAGAAAAAGAAAGCTGCTGAATCCACAGTGATGGGGATTCACTTCAGAGAGACTAAAGTGACTCTCACTCAAATGCGTGATGGGGTCTCAGAGTGAAAATGGCTCCTTTGTGGAACAGATGGCAACATGACTCTGATTTATGATGCTTATGCGTAGACCTGCAGAACTTTAAAGATGTAAAAGGAAAAAAAAAAAGAGGAGATTGTCAAAGCCTTGGGGGCTGATATATGTTTATGGCTCGCTGCAACTTTATACTATAACTTTTATTTAATTAATATAATGTATATTATGTATTCTAAAATTGCCCCCCCCCCCTCCCCACTAAATAACATGTTGTGCCATGTTATTTATGTATGTTCCATACTCATTCAATTTCCAGATGATGGATTGGGTAGTGCTTCAAAGAGTGAGATGTCGTTTTATGATCTAACCATGCTCTAAACTTCTCTATACCTTTATCCCCGACCTACCTGGGGTGTTCCTTGTCTTTCATGATGCTTTTTGTTCACTGATGTTCTGTTAAAAATCTCAGAGAGAAATTGTTTAATTTATTCTGGGATTAATTTACACATAGGGTGAGTTTTTTTTTTCTTCTACTAATTATGTGTGTTCAAAAGGCAATTTGTTCCACTGAATTTTATGTTTGGATGTCAGAGAAAAGGGGCTAAATACTTAAAAAAAATCTCTACAAAAGTATACACTACTCTGTTTTGGTGTGTCATACATAAAACACCAATAAAATACACTGAAGTTTGCTGATGTGTCACAACGAAATGTAAAAAAGGCTCAAGAGGCAGCAAAACTACTGCAAGGTGGTGCAAACAACTGCTACTTAACTTTTTCTCTGTGGCAGCAGAACCCTACAACCCTTGTCCACCTCATTAGGCTCAGTGCCCACTCCACTGTGTAATGATTATGAACGGGGAAGGAGGGGACACCGGCACAAGGACTCGTGGCGGCAGAATTGGCACGGAAACTGGCATCAGGGGGCCCCGGACATCAATAATGGGTCTGATGGGATTAACTGGCTGTGGCAGGAGAGGACCGGAAAAGGCAGAGGTTGCCTAAGCTAACAAATTAACTCTGCAAAATTAAAGGAAACCGTCAACAAGAACAGCAGCAGGACAAACACTGGGGAGCGGGTTGGAACCTGTCATCTGTGGTTGAGGAGTCAAGAGAGTTCACACAAGGAGGGGGGTGTTGTCATTTTCCGCTACCATAGACATTTCTATGTTTATGATCAATATGCTACAATACTGTTGTGACGAGGAGCTTAATTTATCAAGAGACAAGATTTAAGTACACAGTGCTATGATTGTTTTTTTTTATTGTGGGTTGTAATTTACCTAAATATAGATGAGTACGAGTGAGGATTCCCTTTAAAGAATCCCCACTGCCTCATTCAAATTTATTTGCTTGGTGAGGTAAATTTAGCAGGAGATCTACGTTTGTATAAAGCTTTATAAATAAAAGCAGAAGCAAACACAGATTTGTGACCATTTAGTAATCAACTGTAGACATCTGTCCCTCAGTGTCGGGAAGTGTATACAGCAATGCTAGATGTTTTCGTAAGAACATTTATTAAACAGCTAAACTTTGTCCCTAGATGAGTTTTGTTGGCCTAAATTTGTTTAATAATACTTATTCTTCTGTGAAGAGTATTTCTGTATCTCTGCTCATTCCCAATGGAGAGTCAGCCCACATCTTGATCTAGGACACTGCTCCAGAACAAGTTATAGACAAATCTAATTAAATTTCACGAGTAGACACTAAAAAAAGAGAAGAAAAAAAAGAGAGAAAAAAAAGCAAGGTAATTAAGTCACTTTGGATTATCCACTAGCACTGCACTGTAGCTGTATTTGTTTGTGTCTTTTGTCTCATCTGCAGCATGCGTGTTACTGTGAGTCGGTTTGTGTGTGAATGACAGGCATGAGTGGATCACCCTGCCATGACAGAGTCTATCGATCAGTGTGTCGGCGCCTGGGGAAAAGGTTAATCTGCCCGATGCCAGCTCCTCGCCTCGCCACATCTCTGGCCTGCCCTGCATCCCGCCCCAGCCTGCTCCCTCTCTTATCAGGATTAGAGGAGAGTACAAAAGGGCAGAGCATTCCCAGGACACGCACTGACCTTCAGTAATCCCACCAACCTGACGCTCGGCTTATAATTAACATCAGGAACACAGAGGGAAAAGCCCCCCTGGTCTGCCAGCGTAGCATTGCTCTGACTCAAAGACTAAAACTAGGGGGAGAAAAGTTAAAGTGGAGTTTAAGACTCAAAGTGCAAAGTCCTGCTTCACTAATATGTTTTGAATGCCCCAGAGAGGGAGGCTGACATTCAGGAGGTGCTGACTAGCCTCCCCAACCTCTCCTCCTCACAGGCCCTACACACAGATTTTAGAAACATGCTGAACCAAGCAGGGAGACAGAAAACCGTTCCTGGGACCAACAGGCACTGGTGTAGCTAGGGAACATGGGGCGCAAAGCAAGAGATGTGTGTGTTGGTGAAAAGATGCTCACCGGATCCTGGCTCATCTGCACTATGAGCTGTTTAACCGCGTGCAGCGTGGGGTGCGCCCACGGAGACGGGTCCTGCCAGTGGCGATTCAGGTCGAAGCCCATCAGAGAACACCTGTATGAACACACACACACACACACACACACACATGGATTTACTAAAAACACAGTGAAAAAATCTCCTGGATTTTCTCCTTTGGATGTACTGACACAAACAATTATGCATAACCAATGAACCAGCTTTAGATCTGCAGCAGGATTATAGATTGTGCTTAGAGCAAAGGTAGGTATTTTTGCAATAATAAATTCCTGATGAGCTCTAAAGTCCAAAGAATAAGATCCCAAATGCAAGCAGGAAGAAGGCAGATTACATTTCCTGAAATTATTATTTAAATTAGAAACAATAGGAAAGCAAAAAGCTCAGGATCAACATCAAGAGAACAGCAGGATGAAGAAGGCCGGGAAAAAGCAGAGGATATACGGAATGAAGGGGAAAACTCAGTTCAGATAAGCCTACTGTCTTTAGACTGGAGACAGGCATACAGGCCTGAAAGCTGGGGACCTAATCAAACTAGTACAGATGTAAAAAGGTTTTTCTTTCATTTAAAAGAAAAAAAAAACATCCACAAAGTCTTGTTATTCACTGGAAAAGCTCTGTCACACCAATGATGTATCAGCATCAGGTAGCAACAAAATGACATTATAATTTAAAGCAAGATATGGGACATGAGTAATGAAATGAGGTGGCATATATAGTACTTTATTAAGACACTCAAAGACATTTACATTTAGTGTCTTTTATACTATGCCAAAAAATGTTAAAAATGTGGGGCCAACAGAGTCAGAAAATCCCATAAAAAATTATTTATTTTTTCGAAATATAGATAATTTAAAAAAAAAAAAAATCTTTTTCACCAAACATGCTGCATGTGGACTGTTTCACAAAATTTCTGTGTTACTACAGACAAAATCAATGGCGAACGGAAAATGTCCTTAAAAAAAACAACAACAGAAAAACAAAGAAACCAAGCTATTCGCTCAAAATATCAAAACTAAGTCACAAACCTCAAACTCTTGATATTATTTTAGTCTTGTGCAGAAGTACTCATCCAGCCAATAGTTTGATGAATTTGCACTAATATGCAGATAGTAGGCAGTATGCAGCAGAGCCAAGAAACAAATAAAGCCGTAATAATTACATCAGTAGATCTCTTTCTGTTTGTCCCAAAGTTAATCTCTGACAGTAGTGACCTTTGTTTGGACGTAGCAGGGTATTTTTTATTCTTAAAGTCATTAAGAAACTGCAACTAAGTTGTTCCACTGCCAAAACATATATATATGTTTTGGCAGTGTTTTGTTTTACCAAGTATATGTTTTACCAAGTATATATTTGGTAGTATATATATAGCCAGATGATTACTTGGTGGTTGAGAAGGACATGATGAATTTCATTTTTTTTCCCATTAGTTGGATGTTTGTTTGCAGTGAATCTAAATCAGGAAGACTAAACCTGCTTACTGAAATATCTATTTATTAGATTTCAATCAGCTATAATGTGCTACACACAGCAGGTAATAGTCAAGTTCACAACAGTCAGAGTGTTTTAACATTGTCAACTGGTGTTTATAAATCCTGCTTAAAATCTGTATATGTCATCTGTTTAGAGTTTTTTTCACAGACAAATTGTCAGAAATGCCAGTTAATTGGTACGTACTTTAACAAACACAATAACTTCATCTGCCTCCTCATATTTAAACCCAGGATTCAAGACATTAGCAGAGACGATGAGAAAACTGTCGTTCAAATTCTTCCGGCAAAGAATACAACATAGTGAGTGTCAAAGGAAGAAGTTATAAGTGGTATAAAAACAAGACTGGGTTTTCTCTGAGGATGTGGAAACCCAAACTGCTTCTTACACAACCAATTCAGACCTGGTGTTTTGGACCAGCCTGGTTCCAACACTGGAACAACTTTTCAAGAAAAGAAAACTTACAAACACAAAGGATCTATTTAACCTTTTAAGCTACTCATTAATTATCTAGTGTGTAATTAGGAAACAAGGAGTTTTTCTTAAGAAATGGGATTAGATTACCTAAAATTACCTGCCCTGCCTACCAATAATGGCCTACATCCTAAACAGCCACATATTTCAGAGACATTGTAAAAGTAACTTCATCTCAAATGAGACATTGCTTCAGGCAACAATCTGGAGGGACCAAACAGCAGGAGCATCAAGAGTCTAGAAAAGGTCCGAACAAACCTCCTATAACGTGTACTAGCCTGGCCTAGCGGTAGGCAGTGATGAGGTCAAACACATGCTGCCTGCAGCCACCTTTAGCTTCTTTAATGGGATGCTGACATGCAGGGATGCACCCTGATCTGCCTGGCTCATTGTCTTTTGGATCTTTGACATTTACCCAAGTTGCCAGTAATAACACAGGTGTTACCGTTACTCTGAAACAGCAGAGCAGCCAGCCATGAACAGGATACTCATCCCGGGGTAACTGCCATTGATTATTTGCTCTGCATGTTCCAGTCTGCTCTCTGCTGTTTCCTGCAGAGATGACTGCTTGGGATGCTATATTTCTCTGTGAGGGCAAGGAAGCATGCAATTGTCCATACATTGGCATGTGTGATTGGTGAGGAGGTGACTGTCACAATTTACCTTCTGTCAATAAGAAGCTTATCACCACTCAGAGTTAAAAACAAGCTCATGTAAATTGTCTTTAAGCTGCGGCCAACCTGGCGGATGCATTTCTAAAGCAGTGGTGGCATATTACCACTAGATGGCATTCACAAACACAGTGGGGGAATGCTGCTGCTGATGCCTATCTCGGAGAGCATTAGTATTCTGGGGGCTGAGCCTATTAAGTAAAAGGCAATTATGAGGACGGGAAAGAGAAGAGAGGAAAACCGAGGAGAGGAGGATACCCACAGAGCAGCGGCAACAGTGTTAAAGACAGAGAGAAGGAGAGGATGGACAGAGAGCTGGCAGAAATAACAGCCCTGAAGCTAAATGCCTTCTCCAATCAAATGCAGTGCTGTTGGCTATATGAATTCATCAGGCTTCTAAAAAGTATAGTTAAAAGATAAAATGAAAATTAGATTATATAAACAAAAATTTTTGCATTCATTTGTACCTGTAGTTTCCCAGATAGACTCCATCAGGATTCAGCATGGGGACTATCTTGAAGATCACGTGATCACGGAGGACTTGGGCCACTGGATGATGGCTCACCAGGAAGTCAATGACACCTATTGCACACGCATATAAATTCACGCAGACACATACGCAAAACAGCAGGGGGAGGAAAAAAAAAAAAAGACTTGAAAAGAAAACCAGGGGCGAGCTTCGCAGTTAATTGAGTTTTGAGAAACAAAAGGAAAAAGAAAAGGACGGTGAGGGGGCATCATCAGAATCAGGGGAGGAACGGGAGACGTCAAGCCTAAATCGATGCAAATGGAATGGAGCTGACGACGGTGGAAAAACAGACAGCATGCAGCGGGCTTAAAGCCAAATCATCTAATTCATAATGAGCCACACACACAAACAGACAGCGGGGAGCACAGAATGGATGGATGAAGCCTTTCGGGCTATTTAATAGTATAAACTAAGAGGTTCATTGAGTTTACTACAAATATTTTGACATTGGCCAGTCTTTAATCTGAACCTGAAAAAATGGACAGGGATTGATGGATGGACAGAAGAGGATACCAGTGACTTTGATATTCCTCATGGTTTATTAGAGTGATCGCCTTCGATTAGGTATTAAGAGTGAATCTTTCATTCATCTTGGGTGTTTAAACATCCTAAAACGATGTTGCTTTGCTACGTCACTGGACATAGAGTTCATCTTTCTTTTGCACTCAGTAAATATTTAACTTTGCTGAAATACTGAAATAACTTTTCCTTTTAGAAAAAAATATATACATTCATTTGTAAATGAATGTAGTACAGGAACTACAGGTACATTTACACATGTCTGTGTAAATGTGTGTATGCTGTTAATGTATCTTAAAAACCAAAGGAGCCAAATGGACGGATTCTTAGCTACCACCTGAATCACATTTAGCTGCAATGTTGCATTTATTAGTCTTACCATCTAATAATGCCTGAGAAACAAATACAGAAATAGTTGCAAGCAAGTTAAGGTCCATCTAATTTGTTTATTTGTGCATTGTAAATACAATTGCAATGTAAACTTACAATTTGGGATTCACGTCTTAGAAAGAAAGCTCAAAATCTAATGAAATACTGGTTAAGTATGATGATACACTTTAAAATATGCACAGTGACAAACCATGTGGTGAAGCACAGCTAAATTTGAACCAATCAAAATGAAATTATTCTTTTACCTTGGCAGACAAAAGAGGCCGGAGACTCTCCGGGGTGAACACGAGCAGTGAGAAAAACCAGCTTCTTCTCCTTCTCTGACCTCACATTTTCTGGGGGAAAAAAAAAAAAAACAGCAAAAAGTGAATTCAGACTCTGCAGAGGCAGGTTTGAAGGTTTGAAGTTAGGTAAAAGCAAATAGGGGTATAAAAAAATGGAAAGAGATGGTTTTGTCAATGCATAAAGATGAAGCAGCTCGCGGTAGGGCAATTTGTCATATTAATATGTCTACCATATTGTAGTTTAATTAAAGGGGTGGGTCAGAACCCTCAGACTCGGATGTCTGCTTTCACACGGGAGCGCATGAATCAAACATCAAACCAACACTCTGCACAGAATATTCAAAAGTCACGGTGAATTATACATCTACAGGGGTCAGGATGAGGCAGCAACAGGTGTGAGCTGGAAGAGAGACAAGGCTTCATGTCTGGCTAAGAATTTCTCTCTGGCCTTTGACTTTACAGAGAATGATGGACAGATGCTTCCTTCCCTTCTCATCTCCTTTCTTACTCCCTATTTGTTTTCCTTTTTTTTAGAGGGAAATTCAAATGGTGTAATGTTTAGGACGGATCAAAAAATGTACACTGGCTCTGATTGGTTGTCTCTGACTGGGAGTGGTGCATTTCTGCAAATGGAAATCACAAGGAGGAGGCAGAGGAGCTCAATCATAGACACATGGTGACTTTTATTTTTCATAAAAGTTACATACTGCAGCTTTAAGACCGCAGTGCACCAATCTTCTGATGGCTACTTCCAACATGATTGTGCATCATGTCACAAAGTTCAAGTCTTCTCAGACTGGCTCTGTTATTATGGCAGCGTTAATCCACATGTCAATCCAATATGTCTTTAGGATGTGGAGGAAACGGAGATTCTCATTAAAACTACCTGCAAATCTACAGCCACCAAGTCATTTTTTAATCTATGCCACCAATGAAAAAGGCAGCTCTGAAGTTTGCAAGAGAAGAGTCTTTTTGTGTCTCTGTGTTGGGCCTCTGATGAACTGATGACCTTACAGATCAGGAAGAGTTTTAAGTTGAAACAGAGAATTTCAGAAGATTTTCTCTCTGAAGTTGGGATCAAAGACCACAAGATATTGCAAATATTAAACTACCAGATTAATCTCTCATGGTTTAGCTTACAGTTTGAAGATAATTCCCCAAAAAATATTTAAAAGCAGAACTGCAGACAGGCTAAACAAGCAGAGTCCACCCATTGCATCGCAAGTCCAGTTGAAGTCTGCAGAGGTCAAAGTTTTGTTGTTGTGTTTTTCTTTTGCCAGTGTTTCCCTTCTAATCTGCTGTTGCTAATAGATGAAAGTGATTGTGCACCTCATTGCTATACACAAACTTAATATCTTATTGATCCCTTCGCTCTCTTCTGCTGAGCAGAGAAAATGCTAATTAGCAACAGGCTATGCTCCTTTCCTTCTCCTTAATTCCAATTTAACCTCAGAGCAATGTGTGCATTTGAGTCTGTTTAAGTAGTTAGGAGTTGTAAAAAAAAAAAAAATGCTTTGTTCCATTAAAGTGCTCCGCCAAAGATTTTATTTTGCTTTTTCCTCTTTCTGCCCTTCACAGAGACAAATGGGTTTGCCATTCAGGAGTCTCTGTGGGGCGGAGCGGGCCGGTTGTTGTAAATGTGAGCGCTTGCATCTTGACCGGATGCAGGCAGCGCGGTGGCTGTGAGATTTCATCCCGCATAAATTCTGTCTTGGCTTTAAAGTGGAGGCTACCACACAGACCCGAGGAACAAGAACATAGAAGCGACATGCACAGCGAGCAGAGGAAAGCAGTAAGCGGACAGACACACATATCCCTTAGTTAAACCAGGAAGCTGGAGCAGGGAAAGCTGCCAAGGTCCCGACTTCTTTGGGAATCCAGCCATCATGGCCATGCTACATTTAGTCTCAGCCTTAGTGTGCCCTTGCTGCTTCATCAAAACTATCTCTTCCAGCAGGCTCTTGGAGTTTACAAAGGATGCACGCTTTATCCCACATCGCTCCGTGTGTCTGTGTGAGTATGTCTCCTCAGAGCGCTTACAAATGCTCCCCAAGCAGTTGTTGTGTTTATGTGCCTGTATCTCTGCTTTGCTGAGCAGCCAAGCATTGTAGCACAAAATTAAGTCCAACTATTCCATGCAGGCTCCTCACAGCATCCTCGGGGAACCTGCAAAAAACAACAACTATAGATGGAGTGAAGGTAAGGAAAGAACAAAAAAAAAATCATTTTGACTCAGGTGATGGTGGCATTTCACAAGAAAAGTTTGGGGTCAAGTTACAGCTGAGCCTCAAGGGCAAAGTGATGCAGCAGCATCTCCTGACCCCAAGGTGGCAGTGAAGATCAGGAGCTGGGGCATTAAAGAGAAAGAGAGAGAGATGTTGACAGAAAAAGAGCAGGTAAGAAAAAAGAAATAGACAAGGTAAGGAATGAGACTGAAGGAAATCTTTCAACAACAATCCTCAAAATCTACAGGCTTTTTCTTGACAGTTTTCAGAAATTGTTGTAAGAGAACAGGAGCAGTAAACAACAACCCTTCAACAATAAATGCTTTCCAAGTGCACCAAGCTAAATGTCAAACCAGCATCACTGTCTTGTCAGCTAGATAAAACACACGTTTTGTCACCTAAAAAAAAAATCACATTTATTTTTAAAGTGATATAAATTCAAGGAAGACTGGAGAAAAACATATGAGAAACTCAAAAGAGCCCTCATGATAAAAAAAAAACCTAAATCAATTTATTTACTGACGGTGAAAGAAAGAAAGGGAGAAAGAAAAATAAGAGAAAAGAAAGAAGGAAGGAAAGAAAGAAACCTTTCTGTTGTTGCACAGAAATGTAAAAAAAAATGAACAAAGACCTGTTGGTCAGTTGTGTCTTACAGATGAGTATATAAAGCTAAAAAAAAGGATAAAAGACAGAAACAGCTCATGAAAACAGTGTTTAAGGAGAAAAGCTGAAGTCGACCCAAACAGGAATATTACTTAATAAAAACAGCCTCAGGTAAGAATTTACCACTCGACTCACCAAAGCCGGTATGTATAAAATATCCATTCCAAATGGCCCTATGGGAAGAAGCAATTGCTTCCCTTGTTAAATCAAGACTTAAACTACATTTGTAAGGAAGATGAGCTCGATTTTACAAGCCAAAACCAGACCTGATTATTACCCAACATCCAGATACAATAAATGATTTATATAGGATCTCTTTGATGGCTGAAAGATGTAAAAAGAAAAAGCAAAACCTCTAAAAGAATCATTTAAAACAGAAAAAAAACATTAGCATCTTTTAGTCTAGAGATGTTACAAAACTGTAAAACTTTGGGATGCCAGGGAAAGCGAGAGCCATAATCCAAAAACATGCAGCAGTGGAGAACCTCCCAGGAGAAATTACTGCAACAGCACATTGACTATTAAACCAAGAGGTCATACAAACAACCCAGGATGACATCTACAGATCTCTCTGCCTTGGTTATGATTTAAACAATACAAAAAATATTGGGCAAAATGGGAGATATCCAATGCAATCCAAGACTTTTAGGAAAATATTTTGTGGACTGACGAGACAAAAAGGAAACATTGTGTGTATTGCTACGTATGACCTAAAAGTAGCAGAGCATTCAGTACCAAACCATCATGCTTGACAGTCAAACATGATGGTTACAGTGTCAAGTTTTCTTGATCATCACAGTGAGGTTATTAACTCATTTGCCTCCACAGCCAACAGATCTCATTCCAGCAGAGCTCCCCTCTTCATGTGGAGGAATGGAGGTTTCTCAGCAAACCTCCACCAACTGCGTGACGCCCTCAGGTCAATATGGCTGAACACTCTGAGGGACGTTTCTGAACCCTTGTTGAATCCATGTTATGAGAATTAAGGCAGTTCTCAAGGCAAATTAGCCTTTGACCTTGTACAATTATTGTGTTTTTAATAAAGTTCCCAGTTAGTATTTAGAGCACTACACAGGGTTCAGCGGCTTTTATTCTTCTCATTCTGAGCCAGTGGACTTATGACACTAAAATAAGAGCATAAAGGAAAATAAAATAGAAAGGAAAAACTGTTATGTAGTGAATTAGTAAATGAGGAAGCATAATAAAAACAGTTATTGTGCTATATTTTGGTTAGTGCACAAAGAATGTACTTCCTGCAGGAGTCTTCTCATGCTGCCACTCCTCCTGTGTAGGGGTGTATTTTTTATGCAGCAACACCTAATGTTTGGAAGTGGAATTGCAATCAGCCGCAGCAGTATGAAAAGTCACTAATGGAGGAGATGAAATAAGTTAATGTTAAGACAGAACTTTTGTTAAATAAATAAGCTTAGGAACATGTTACCGTTTATAAAACCCAATGCAGAATTTTCATGAGAGCAGCCGACAGAGGCTCAGGTGATGAGGGAAGTAGTATAAGCTAAGTCACAAAAAGAAGAATATATATATATATATATATATATATATATATATATATATATGTCTGGAGTGGGAACTCAATCCACATCTAATTATCGATTACTTAGATCCCTTTCCTCTATGATTCTATTGCATCACTAAGGTTATTTATTCAATCTAAAACCTAAAGTTTTGAAAATCCTCTTAATTAAATGCAACAACACACCACAGGTTTTTCTATGGTACACACTAGTACTTTTTTAAAATTTATCTTGGAGAGGCTTCACCTCCTGGGCACTTCCCTTGTCATGAAGCAAATGTTTTTGGTAGGGTTTGTCGAAACTCTTTCCAGTTGTTCTAAAAGACACCCCAGTTAATCAAATACCATAATCTAACATAATTTAACTTGCATTTTAGTGTTTTACTCATGGCCTTTCCTAACACTGAAGAGAATAAAAGCCAATATAGTTAATCCTCATACCACAGTGTGACTTCATGTCCAGGAGATGCTGTCATTTCCTCCTGGAGTTTATGCTACACTCCTTCTGTTTCTTCATTTTATTAAGCGCATTGTGATGCAAGTTCTTCACTGCCTCCTTGCTGATCAGAACATCTCACATCTTCTGAGTGCCGTCAGAACAGCTCAACACACTGTTAAGGGAAAATAAA